AGTTTGCAGCCCCACCAGCAGTGGATGAGTGTTCCCCTTTCCCCACATCCTCTCCAACATTTGCTATCATTTGTTCTCTTGATCTTAGCCAGCCTGACTGGGGTAAGATAAAATCTTAAAGTGGTTTTAATTTGCATTTCCCTAATTATTAGTGATGTTGAACATCTTTTAAGATGTTTCATAGTCATCTTTACTTCTTCTTTTGAGACCTCTCTGTTCAGCTCCTTAGCCCATCCTTTAATTGGATTATTTCTTGTCTTGATTCTCTGTTCTTTGAGTTCGTTATATATTTGGATGTTAAACCTCTGTTAGATGTGTCACTGGTGAAGATTTTCTCCCATTCTGTGGGTTTTCTGTTTGCTTCCTTGGTTGCCTCCTTTGATGTACAGAAACTTTTTAGTTTAATGAGGTCCCATTTGTTAATTCTTGCCCTTGTTACCTGAGCAATTGATGTCCGGTTTAGAAAATCCTTTCCTACACCTATATCTTGTAGGTTTTTCCCAAATAAAATATATTTTTTTAAATCACCCTTTGACAAAGCCATTTCCAAGAAAATCAAGTACATCGTTTGGATGCACTGAGTTCCTAGAAATCTGTTCTTAGAATTGTTGGCAGCAGCTGTAAGTGAACAAGTGAAAACAGTAATCTTAACACTTATCAATGTTCCGTCAAAGGAAGTTGCTCAAGGTGAAGTCCATTTGCACCAGTGGGGCCAGACATCTGACCAATGAGTCTGGATTCTCCACCTCTGGATTCCCTACTCTGCAACAAAACTTGTCAGCAGAGGGATCCACAGGAAGTATACAAATCGGAATTTGCAAAACCAGTGCCAAATGAAAAGAAAGAGCTGTTGGAACCAGGGGGATGAAAGCAGACAGGCGTGGAACTGGAGGTGTTAGGGCTAGAGCCTGGGCCCTGGCAGCATCAAAAGCCAATCAAAGAGACAAGTAACAGTGAGAAGTAGAGAAAGGAGATTTATTCAAGGTGGCAACATTGGGAAAAGGAACGGCTAGAGATGCAGTACCCGCCACCCACCCCATGTTCATCTTCTAGGTCCTGACATGAGGTTTGGGGTTTTGGTTTTTGTTTGTTTTATGTTTATTTGTCCACATGGAGGTCTGTGGACAACCTGTTAAAGTCAATTCTCTCCACCATCTGAGTTGCCCACTGAGCCACTGTCTGAGGTTTAGGTTTAAATAGAGAGCGAGTGGTCAGCATAGCTAAGCAGTCCTGGTGAAGTTGTGGTCCCACAACTTTGTTGTCTCAGCTCTAGTCTCTCCTGCAAGGTGGTCTGACAAGTTTGTCATAGTATGTGAAATCTCTCCCAGGGATTTCCTTTCCTGGCTGGTTCCAGGATTGATAAACCTTTCCTTCTCCTAGCTGAGATTCCTAGGAAATTTTCAGTTTCTCGAGGACACTTGTTTCCATAGGTGGAGAGATACGAATGTCTCTGTTGAACATCTCACAACATCTCCTATCAGGACAGTTACAAGAAGAGACCGCTGTGGAATTTTGGCCCTGGGACCAAATCATATATGTTGGTTTTTTTTGTTTTTTTTTTTTTTTTTTTTTTTTTTTTTTTTTGGTCTTTTTGAGATAGGGTCTCCTTGTAGCCCCAGCTGTCCTGGAACTCACTATGTAGACCAGGCAGGCCTTGAACTCACAGAGATCTGCCTGCCTCTGCCTCCCGAGTGCTGGGATTAAAGGTGTGCACCACCTCGCCTGGCCAAATCATATTTTAAAGCCTTTTTTTTATTCAATCTGTCATTTTTCTCTGTATTAGTTACTTTTCTCATTGCTATAATCAAATACCTGCCAAAAGCAACTTAGGGGAGGAAGGATTTGTTTGTGTTCACAATGTTAGGGGACATAGCCCATCGCACTCCAGCCTCAGGAAAGAAGTGGAGAGCGATAAATGCTGGTAGTTCACTCACTCTCCTGGTCATTCAGTCTAAGACCCAAATTACAGGATGGTGCTGCCCATATTTGGGTGAGTCTTCCCACCTCTATTAACCCAGTCTAGAAACTCCCTCTCAGACATGCCCAGAGGTTTGTCTCCTAGGTGATTCTAGATCTTGCCTAGATGACAACCAATATTAATTACCACATTCTCCAACCAATATGTTTTTCTTTTGTTTTTGGGACAGGTCTCACTGTACAACCCAGGCTGGCCTCAAACTTCCAATCCTCCTGCCTCTGCCTCCCCATTGCTGAGGTTATAGGCATGTACCACCACCCTACAGATATTTTGCCTGGGCTCTCCAGAGGCAAGTCATACAGGAGATACCTTCATTTGGCAGTACCCACCACATCAAATAGGAATCCTGCCTTAGGGTTTTGTTTTTTGTTTGTTTACATTTATTTATTTGTGTGTGGTGGTGTTCACATGCAGGTCAGTTCTCTCTTTCCACTATATGAGTGTCAGGACTCTGCAAGGCAGCAAGCCCTTTATCCGCTGAGCCATCTCACTGACTCCTGAAGGTGTTTTAAATGAAATGTAATTGTTCCACAAGTGTTTGAAGTGCTGCAGAGAGGAGTTGAAAGCGCATTTCATTTGTAAAGTCTGAATGTGGTGACTGGTATATAAACTGCTGATGACAAGACCCTGCTGTCCTAGTCCCAGTCTCAGACAAGAACCCGATAGCTCCTGTTTCCATGGAGGCGATCAAGAAAAATCTGCTAAGCCCTCTTCCATTCATAGAGATTGACACAGTGTGATCAGAACTGAGTAGCCTGTTAGCACCACAATATATTTGTGAAGGGGATGCTGTGGGTGGTTTGGAGAGGGAGTTTGCTGCCCTCTAGTCTTGCTCCCTTCTCTCCAGATCTGTTGTGAGGGCTGGATGGGATGGTGAACAGAAAATAGCCTGCACCCATTCCACCAGTAAATGACAGCTGATTTTATACCCTTTCTCCCTGGCCACTATTCCTAGTCTGTCTTCTCTCTGTCTTTCAGTCCAACAAAGTTCCTGTTGTTCAGCACCCTCATCACATGCACCCGTTGACACCCCTCATCACCTACAGCAATGACCACTTCTCCCCTGCCTCTCCTCCCACGCACCTCTCCCCAGAAATCGATCCAAAGACAGGTGAGTGGTCTTGGCACAGATAATGCTCCTGTGGGGTGGGCAGCTTTTCTTTGAGGGGAAATAAGAGCCCTTGAATGAGACAGACCTAGGTTCAAATCTCCACATCTTTCAAGAGGCGAATTACCTTGCCCATTCACTTGAGGCTCGTGCGTGCGTGCGTGCGTGCGTGCGTGCGTGCGTGCGTGTGTGTGTGTGTGTGTGTGTGTGTGTTTTAACCTGTGGACAAAAAGGAATGAAACAAGATAAAGCAAAGGGCCTGGTGCCACAGTAAATGGAGAGTGCAGTCAGTCCAGCCCATCCAGACTGTGCCTCCATAAACTGAAATATGTGCCCTTTAATAAACATTTCAAATGTAGTCACTCACCTGGCCAGACTTTAAAATATAATAAAATGCTGAGCGTGGTGGCGCACGCCTTTAGTCCCAGCACTCAGGAGGCAGAGGCAGGTGAATCTCTGTGAGATTAAGACCAGCCTGGTCTACATAGTGAGCTCCAGGCCAACTGGGGCTGCAGGGAGACCCTGTCTCAAAAAGATTTATTAATATATATATTAAATTAATATTAATATATTAATATATATATTAAAACAAGGAGTTGGAGATGGCTTTTATTGTTGTTAATTGCCCCCAGACTTGTCCATCCCTGAGAGCCAAGGTCTTTATAACATTCCCACAGAATCACCATGGCTCTAAGAATTTTTGGAACCCCTCTTTTGAGGAATATGGTTATTAAAAGCTGTAGGTAGGGGACTGGAGAGATGGCTCAGTAGTTAAGAACACTGGTTGTAAGAACACTGGTTGTTCTTGCAGAAGACCTGAGTTCAGATCCCAGCACCCACATGGCAGCTAACAACTGTCTATAACTCCAGTCCCAGGGGGATCCGACAGCCTCTTCTGAAGCTCTGAGGGCATTGCATAACACTGCACTTACCTACATGCAGGCAATACACACACATAAAATAAAAATAATAAATAAGATTTAAAAAAAAAAGCTGGGGTTGGGGAATTAGTTCAGTGGTAGAACGCTTGCCTAGCAAGCACAAGGCCCTGGGTTCGGTCCTCAGCTCCGGGGAAAAAACAAAACAAAACAAAAAGCTGTAGGTAGAAAGAAAAAATGTAGATTCAAAATCCAGAGTTTATGGCTAAGGTATATAAAGAGTTTCTGGTTTTGTTTATTTGTTTGTTTGGTTGGTTGGTTGGTGGTTGATTGGTCTGGTTTTGATTTGGGGATTTTTTGTTTGTTTGGTTGGTTTTTTTGTGACAGTCTCATATAGCCAGGCTACTCTAGAGCTTGCTATGTAGCCAAGGATGATCTTTAACTCCTGGTCCTCCTGCCTCTACCTCCTAAGTGCTGAGATAGTTTATACAGTGCTAAAGATCAAACCCAGGGCTTTGTGTGTGTTGAACTACATCTCCAGCCCCAGAGATGCAAAGTTTATTTTTCCTTGAATGAGGCAGGCTTTCTAGAAGATTAGTTAACTGATGACTTGGAGGACATCTGTGCTCTCTGTTGGGTTCTGTATGAATCCCTGTCCAGTAGACAAAAAGAAGTTACACCCACAGACATGGCTTTGAGAGATCTAGAGGAAAGGTCTCTGAGTCCTTTCACCTGGATGCTCTTGACTGACCATCCAGAGCTGCTGGTGGGTGGAAAGGACAGGAATGATGATGGAAGCCTGGGGATGCAGGGGAAGGAGGCTCCTGCTGGGTGTTATTTAAGTGGCTAAGGTAGGGCGAGGGAAGCATCTGACACATCTCTCTTTGGAAGCAGGAATCCCCCGCCCCCCTCACCCATCTGAGCTGTCACCATATTACCCACTGTCTCCTGGAGCTGTTGGACAAATCCCCCATCCCCTCGGCTGGCTCGTCCCACAGTAAGGAAACCCATAACCTTTTTTACCCTGGTTCCTTCACTGAGCTCTATCCCTCTGAACCCCAGGACTTAGACCTCCCTGCTCCCACCCCTGGACAGTTTTCTCCCAGCTCTTCTGACTTCCTGCCCCATTTCCCATCTTTTCTCCCCAGTCCAGTCCCCTTGGTTCTAGACCCAAACTTTCCTGGTATCTGACCAGAGCTCCTTTTTCCTTCTTGACCCAATAGGCAAGGACAACCCATGTACTCCCTCCCTCCTGGTGGCTTCCGGCATCCTTACCCTGCCCTCGCCATGAATGCCTCAATGTCCAGGTGAGTCCTAGGCTGGGGCCACCAGCAGGAAATGATAGTCCAGGGATGTTTGCTAGTGACTGTGCCACTTCTGACCACGAGCCAGCCTTTCCCTTGTAGCCTAGTGGGCAGGAATGGGGTGCATGGGGCTACCCCATCCTCATCTCTAAGAAGAAGCCACATCTTGCCCCATGTTCCCCACACCATCACCCCTAGGGTGGAATGGAGATCCCAGGGTCCTTCTTTTCCTCTCTGAAATGAGAGCCTCAGAGCCCTAGGCTGCTATCCTCCTTATGCGTCTGCCCTGGTGCCAGGCATGAAGCCATTTTGAGTATGTCACACTGAAGCCAGAAACTAGGAGAAAATTCCTATTTTCTGTGATGAGGCCAGGAAAGGAAATAGTATAGGGGAATTTCCGTCACAAAGGTGGCTCTAACTGACATTGGGACATTTGATGACAGTCTACAGCCCATAGCCCTACTTTCCTGTCTCCCCTCCTGGATTTTTCATTCTACCTGCATCCAGCACCAGATAGCGGGGAAAGGGAGAGCCTCATTAGGTGGGCTCCAAACCTGATACCTGCTTCTCCACATGATAGCTATCTAGGTGGCACACACTCAGCCGCTGTCCCTCTATGCTCATTTGTTACCCCTTGCTACACAGCCTGGTGTCCAGTCGGTTCTCCCCACACATGGTGGCTCCCGCACATCCTGGCCTGCCCACCTCAGGGATCCCCCACCCCGCCATCGTCTCCCCCATCGTAAAGCAGGAGCCAGCAGCCCCCAGCCTGAGTCCTGCGGTGAGCGCGTAAGTAAGAGGCCCTTTGGATGGAGGGTATGCAAGCAGCCAACTGGTCTCTGCACAGCCCAGGCCATTTGTTTTTCCCTCCTGGTGTTACTTGGTGTCAGTCTGGCAGCCCCTGCCTAGCCCTGTCCTCTCTCTATTTCCTTTGAGACTTTAGATATCTGTTTTCACAGTAAGGAGCATTTTCCAGTCAGGTTCTAGAGGCTGAGAGAGAAACTGAGAAAGCCTTTAGCTTCCATCACTGCCCTGTCATCCACTGAAAATGTGAGGCCAGGAGAGAAGAAAGCATTCTCTTAGGGATTCGTTGCAGCTGGTAGGAGAGAGGAGCCGAGGCCTGGACATTGCCTATTGCACCATAAAGACAGTGGGAAAGTCCATGCCCACAGAGCATCATGGCCCCACCGCCTCTCTCCCTCTTTCCTCTCTTTTCTGTCTTTCTTTTTAAAAGAACACTTTTAAAAGTCCTTATTTATTTATTTATTTATTTATTTTTATTTTATGTGTATGAGTGCCTGCATGTATGTGTAACACGTGCATTCCTAGAACTGGACTTACAGGTGGTTATGAGGTGTCATGTGGGTGGAATTAAATCCAGGCCCTCTACAAGAGTGGCAAGTGCTCTTAACCACTGAGCTATCACTCCAGCCCTTCCTCTCTTTTTTAAAAAAGATTTATTTTTATTTTATGTGTATGTGTATATGTGTGAGTGTATGTATGTGTACCCTGTGCATGCATATGCATGTGGAGGTCAGTAGATGACATTGGATTCCCTAGAACTAGAGTAAAAGATGGTTGTGAGCTGCCCAACATGGGTGCTGAGAACTGAACCTGCATCCTATGTAAGAACAGCAAGTACCCTTAAGTACAGAGTCATCTCTCCACCTCTCTCTCTCTCTCTCTCTCTCCCACCCCCATCCCTCTCCCTCTTCCCCCCTCTCTTTCTTCTCTCATCTTTCTTTCCCCTCTCAAGAGGGGTGGGGGGACCAGACAAACAGCACAAAAGCCAGAAGCAGCCACGGAGCCACCCGAACATCAGAGACTGCTACTACCCCTGCCCGAGGCAGTCCACCAGCAGCCTCTGTGAGGGCAGGGATGTGGAGCTGGTTGACTACCAGCGCTAACCTGCAGTCACATGTGTCCCCAGGAAATCCCCAGTCACCGTGAAGAAGGAGGAAGAAAAGAAGCCTCACGTGAAGAAGCCTCTGAACGCCTTCATGTTGTATATGAAGGAGATGAGGGCCAAGGTGGTGGCTGAGTGCACCCTGAAGGAGAGCGCTGCCATTAACCAAATCCTGGGAAGAAAGGTGAGGTGCCCTCCAGGTGACGCTGCCAGGCATTGGGACTTAGGTCCCCTGCCCCACCCGTCCCTGCCCTGACCACTCGGTGTGTCTTGACCCTCTCTCCTTTAGTGGCACAACCTGTCTCGAGAAGAACAGGCCAAGTACTACGAGCTGGCCCGGAAGGAGCGGCAGCTTCATTCTCAGCTCTACCCAACCTGGTCAGCCCGGGACAACTACGTGAGTGTGTACACCGTGCGGGGGGACTCTCAGACCACAGGAGCAACATCTTCAAGATGCAGGAAAAAGAAAGCAACCTCATGTTGCTTTTAAAGACAATCCATACTTCCCTATAACTAAGAAAGCCATTTGAATTCTCAGGGCCCACGCCTAAAAACTGAAACTTGGCAGATTTTTATATGTATGCTCTTCTCTGCTTTTTTTTTTTTTCCTGGTAAGAGGATTCACAGCTACATCAGATTTTCAGAGGGACCTGGAACCCCTCACAAAAGATTAACAGTGGGACTGAGGAGATAACTAGGTCAGTAAAGTGCTTACCTTGCATGAGGACCTGAGTTTGATCCCCAGCATCTACATAAAGAAGCCAGGCATGGTGGTGTGCCCTTGTACTCTCAGCACTGGGGAGGCAGAGACCGATCCCTGGGCCTTGCTAGCCAGCCAGCTTAGCCTACTTGGCAAATTCCAGGCCAGTGAGAGGCCCTCATTCAAAAAAGGTGAGCACTGCTTGAGAAGCAACATCCAAGGTTATCCCCTGGCATCTACAAGCACACACACACACACACACACCAAGAAAAAAGAGAGAGGGGATAGATCAAGAACCACCGTTATAGAGAGCAAAGGTTGTTAAAGAGAGGGAGACAGACAGATCACTTGAAGGGTAAGGATGAGGCCTTCCAAGAAGGCCTTGATGCCCTAACCAGAGGGACTTTATGGGAAAGTAGGACAGAGTCTCTCTGCCTTCTTGCACACCCTGCTTCTCCAGCACCCTCAACCAGGAGCAGTCAAGAGAAGGAGAGCCAGTGCCCATCTTCTGTGCTGATATGAGGTCTTCCTGATGAGCTGGTACTATTCTGTCCCTGTTCACTTCTTTCTATGGTCATATTTTTCAGGGTAAGAAAAAGAAAAGGAAGAGAGAAAAGCAGCTGTCACAGGCACAGTCCCAGCAGCAAATTCAAGAGGCAGAAGGTGAGTCTGGGCCATGGCCTCTGTATCGCTCTCCCCCATCTCAGCTACACATGCCTGTATTATCCAGGCATGATGGCTTGGTGCTCTTGTGAGAGCTGCTGCCTGCAGAGTCTCAACCTCATAGCAGCCTCAGGTTTACTCATGTAGGTGTCAGCATTACCTTTTAGAAAAGATAAATTAAAAGGCTAGGGATGTAACTCAGGTGGTAAGACCACTGTCTAGCAGTCTAGCAGTCCTGAGTTTGATGCCCCATCAGCCCCATAAAATGGTTTGGAGAATTCTAGGGCTTTTCCCAGTTATTCTATTTATGAAGTGGCAGCAGGATTTGCTTGTTTTAAATTATATTTAATTTTAATTTTTTAATTTATTACATTTATTTGTGTATGTGCATGCACACATGTGCATGTATGAAAATCAGAGGACAACTTGTGGGAGTCAGTTCTCTTTTTACCATGTGGATTCTAGATATTAAACTCAGATCTTCAGGCTTGGCAACAAGCACCTTTACCCACTGAGCCATCTCAATGGTCTGACAGTAGGATTTAATCCTAAGACTTTCTCTCAACTAAGTGTAGTGGTGAGGTAGAAGCAGGAGCATTAGGAGTTCAAGATCTTCCTCTAGTACACAGGAATGCCTTCCTTTTATATGTACCAAGCCAGCCCGGACTCACAAGACCTGGTCTCAAATAAACAGGAAATTTTGAGACTAGAAAGGCTCAGTGGTTGGAAGTGCTTGCTGCTCTTGTAAAGCACTGGAGTTCAATTCCCAGCACCCTATCAGACAGTTCACAATTGCCTGTAACTCCAGCTCCAGGGGATCCAACTTTCTCTTCCAGCCTCTGTGGGCATCCACATACACACACAGACAAGACAGACATGTGTGCGCGCACGCACGCACACACACACACACACACCAATAAAATAAATCTTAAGCCCAGGCATGTCTCAGTTTAGCTGAATTGCACTTTGAAGGTTATGTCCTAGAGTCGGCGTGTAACATAAAAGTGAAACTTACTAGAATTATTTCTGAAATTCCCTTAGGAAGTGGCAAGTTAGTCACAGACATGTCACCTAGATTAGTTACTTTTCTCATTGCCTTGACAAAATACCAAAAGCAACTTAAGGAAGACCTTATTTTGTGTCAAAATTTGAGGGTACAGCCCATTATGGGGACAGCATGGCAGTCGGTCACAAGCAGAGAAATGAAAGTTGATACTCAGCTCACTTTCTCATCATTCTTATTCAGTCCAAAACCCCAGCCCATATACAGGGTGGATCCACCGAGGTATGTTTCCGTGGTGATTCTAAATTCCCATCAAGTTGATGATAAAGATTGACCATCACACCACACTATCAGTGGATCCGCTAGAATCAGGTTTTCATTGATTAAACACCAGAACAGTGTTTGTTTTAGTTTAAGAACCACATTGTGCCAAAGATATGTAGGACATCACACCTAGTACAGAGAAATTCTCAGTGTGACTGGCATGTAGGTAATGACCTCCACCTCACACTCATCCCAGTATAAAAGTGGTAGACGGCAAATGTACAACTGCTAGCACTATCTACAGCATCTTGACCTGCCTTCCTTCTTTTCCTCCTTCCTTTTATATAATCCCTCTACATGGGATACACATAAGTAAAATTCAGAGACAATACAAAGTCTATTTTATGCCACAATGCTCAGCAGAAGTCACATCTGATTGGGTCATTAGCCAACAATTTCAAAGAAACTTGAGTACAGGTTGATCTCAGCAGTTAAGAGATTTAGGGAAGAGGGTCATGGTGTGGTAGCTGGCTGAGCTGTTTTTCCTCTGATCAGATTCTGAGTGGGCCTTTGCCAGTATGAAGCAAGGTGCCTTCTCTGGCACGGAGTGTTCCTAAATGCAGTCTCCTAATCTTAAAATCTTTGAAAAGGCTGGAGATGTAGCTTAGTTGATAGAATGCATGAAGCCCTGGGTTTGATCCCCCACTGCATAAGCCAGGTATGGTGTTGTATGCCTATCCCAGCACTCAAGTGGTGGAAGCAGGAAATCCTTAGTTACAGAGTAAGTTCAAGGCCAACCCAGGATACATGAGTGCCTATCTCAAACAAGGGGGAAAAAAAAAAAAAAGAAATTGGAGATAACTCAGTGGATAAAGTCTGTGAAAGCTTGAGGGCCTGAGTTCAGATGCCCAGCACCCATGTAAAAGCCACTGTGGCAGCCTGTAACCCCAGTGCTAGAGGAAGTTAGGGGTAGGAAGAGGCAGATCCCTGGCTGTGGTTGGCTGGCCATCCAGTCTAACAAAAACAATGAACTCTTCAGTGAGATTCAGTAAGAAACCATGTCTCAAAAAATAAGATAGAGGGTAATAGAGGAAGACACCCAAGGTCAACCTCTTCCTCCACATGCACATCCACAGGTAAGTACAACTGTTCTCTCTCTCTCTCTCTCTCTCTCTCTCTCTCTCTCTCTCTCTCTCCACTCAGACAGACAGACAGACACATACACGCATGCACGCACACGCATATACCAAACAACTCAATTTTTTTTTAATTTTAAATAATTTCAGGGAGGCAGAGGCAGGCCAGTCTCTGAGATTGAGGCCAACCTGGTTTGTACATCTAGTTCCAGGTCAGCTGTGGCTACAGGGAGACCCTGTCTTAAAAAGACCCCCTCCAAAAATAATAATTTCAAATCCTTATCATAAGCATTCTTTTTTTTCCTTTTTTTTTGTCTTTTTGAGACAGGGTCTCCTGTAGCCCCAGCTGTCCTGGAACTTGCTATGTAGAACAGGCTGGCCTTGAACTCACAAAGATCCGCCTGCCTCTGCCTCCCAAGTGCCAGGATTAAAGGTGTACGCCACCATGCCTGGCTCTTTTTTTCCTTTATAAAAAAAATTATTTATTTTTATTTAATGTGTATGAATGTTTTGCCTGCATGTATATAAGTGTACCACATGTGTGTCTAGTGCCCACAGAGGCCAGAAGAGGACACTGGATCCCCTGGAACTTGGGACAGCTATTAGCTGCCATGTGGGTGCTGGGAACCAAACATGGTTCTCTGCAAGAGCAGATCTTTACTGCTGAGGCATCTCTCCAGCCCCACCATAAGTATTCCTATGTTTCCAATGTACAGTCATCCCTCAGTATCCTTGGGATTGGTTCCAGGGCCCCACAAACCCCACTTTAACAGCAAATGCATATATGCTCAAGTCTCTTAGATGAAGTGGCATCTTATTTGCATAACCCCCCCCCATCTTCCCACATGGTCCTAAAACTCCAGGTGCCTTATAACACCCCACACAATGTGATTGCTATGGAAATAGCTGTGATACTTTATTGCTTATAGAATAATAAGAAAGAAAATCATCCGAGGCTGGACATGGTGGCTCACATCTGTAATCCCAGCACTTGTAGGCAGAGGCAGGCAGATCTCTGTGACTTTGAGGTCAGCCTGACCAACATAGCAAGTTCCAAGCCAGCCATGACTACCATAGTGAGACCCTGTCTCAAAAAGAGAAAGAAGAAAAGTATTTGCACGTTTAGTACAGATGCATTTTCCCCCCAATATTTTCCATTTATTATGAGCTGAATCCACAGGTACAGAGTGCTGACTATACACAGCTGTTCCTCAGCCTCTGTCCCTCCCAGGGCTATCAGCTACTCATTCTTTCTTGTGTTTTTACCTCTAGGTGCTCTGGCCTCCAAGAGCAAGAAGCCATGTATTCAGTACCTGCCCCCTGAGAAGCCCTGTGATAGCCCTGCCTCTTCCCATGGCAGCACGCTGGACTCACCTGCGACCCCCTCCGCAGCCTTGGCGTCACCAGCTGCCCCTGCTGCCACCCACTCCGAGCAAGCCCAGCCCCTGTCCCTCACCACCAAACCAGAGACCCGGGCCCAGCTGGCTCTCCACTCAGCTGCCTTCCTGTCAGCGAAGGCTACAGCCAGCAACTCCAGCCAGATGGGCAGCCAGCCCCCACTCCTGTCCAGGCCCCTGCCCCTGGGGTCCATGCCTACAGCTCTGCTGACCTCTGCTCCTTCCTTCCCAGCCACGCTCCATGCCCACCAGGCCCTCCCTGTGCTACAGGCCCAGCCTCTTTCCTTGGTCACCAAGTCTGCCCACTAAGCTACCCCCTGTTCTATGCAGGCTATCACGTGACTCCAAGTAGTAATGATTCAGAAGAGGGACGGGGGGAGGAAACTTTATTGGTCAATATTTGACCACTCTGAACTGTTCTGTAAAGTGACTGGTAACAGCAGCGCTTTACACTTGTAGGTGTAACCAGTAGCTGATCTTCAGGCTTTTTTTACAAACAACAACAAAAAAACCCAAAACAAAACAAAACCACACACAAAAAATCTTTACAAGAAAGAAAACTGAAAAGTTATTCTCTCCCTGTGTGGTGGTGGGTGTACCTGGGCAGAAGACACCTCTCTACCTCTTTCTGACTTTCTGCCCTCCTCTTTCTCCTTGTCACCTGCCCCAGCTTCTCTCCCCTCCCCCTTCTCCATTTGCAAGGCTGCGTGGCCTAGAGTTTTAGCCTGGCACCTCTTCCTTGGAATGCATTCCTGTTTCCTTAGCCCAAGTTTTTGTCATGTGCTCAACACCATGGTTTCTCGCCCCTTTGTCCTCTGCTCAGTGTAAGGCCTTGGCCACGTGCAGTGACATCTTGTCCTGATTTGTTCCCACTAGCACCCCCCCCAACCATGTCATGTTGTGTCGTGGTTCCCCCCCCCCACCGTCCTCCCCCATCCCTCTGCAGGCTCCAACCTGCCAGCCTCCAGCTTACAGTGAGGAAAGAAGTCCTCTGAAACAGTCCCCCAACCCCTGCATTTAAAGGGACTCAAGGTGCCTGCCACTTCCTCATGGAAGGAGTCTGTGTTCCTCTCCTGTTCCCAGTTGAGGTTTCCCTCTCACAACCTCAGAGTGGCTGGCAGGGCCAAGTCCCCGTGGTCTGGTGCCTGCCACTTGGGTCTGTGCTAGCACAATCTGCCAAAGTCTCTAAGACCCTCTGCCCTCCCCCCATCACTTCACATGCTTCTTCTGTGTGTATTTCATTTTTTTTTATGGTTTTTGGAGCAATTTAAACTCTGTTTATTTTCACAAAAGAAAATAAAATTGCATTTGCAAGACCTTTTCTGAGTGTTTCTTTTGACCTTCTGTTGAATCAAACTACCCATTTTGTGCCAAGCCCTGGTTAAATTTTTACAAGCCACCTATCATAGAGTAATATAAAACATGTCCATTGAGTTTAGAAAAGGCCAACGAACTTCCAGTCTTTTTTTCTTTTGATTTATTTTGTGCATGTGAGAGTTATTTATTTTTATTTTATGTGTATGAATGTTTTGTCTGCATGTATGTAAGTGCACTTGTGCATGCGGTGCCTCCGAGGGGCATCCTTTAAGCTTCTCATGGTTCCAGCATGGCAATTCATACTATTCATAGTGGCTTTATTGAGGTATAATTTGCTAATTTAAATTTTACCCTTTCAAAGTAGTGGACAAGCCTGGGTGGTATATCTCAGTGACAGACTACTGGCCTAGCCATTTGAGATCTTGGGTTCAAGCCCAGCACTGCCAATTCTAAAACAACATTGTATTTATTATTGGCTATATATGATGAGGTGGGGGGGTGCCATACTCACATATGGAGGTTAGAGAGCAACTTTGTGGAATTGGTTCTCTCCTTCAACCTTTACATGAGTTCCAGGGACCAAACTCAGGTCATCAGGTTTGCATGGCAAGCACCTTACCCACTGAGCCATTTCATCAGCCCCAATTTTTTAAAGATTTATTGTGCGCGCGCGTGTGTGTGTGCATGTGTGTGTGTATCCATGTCAGTACTGGTTAAGGGGTTGGATCCCCTAGAGCTGGAGTTTTAGGCAGTTGGGAGCCACCCAATGTCAGTGCTGGGGACCAAACTCAGTTCTTTGGCAAGAATAGTACATGTTCTTAACCGCTGAGCCATCTCTCCAGTCCTGTTCAATTAAAAATTTCTTTTTTATTTTATTTTATGTGAATGAGTGAGTGGCTTTGCTTGCATGAATGTAAATGTGCCTATGCATGCAACACCAGCAAAAGTTAGAAGAGATTGTTCCCGGAAACTGAAATTACAGATGGTTGTTAGCCTCTGTGCTGGATAGCTTCAGTTGTTAACTTGACACACCTGAGTAGAGGGAACCTTAATTGGGGAATTTCCTCCATTGAACTGACCTGTGGCCATGTCTGTGGGGCATTTTCTTGATTACTGGGTGATGTGGGAGGGCCCAGCCCACTGTTGGGTGGTGCTACCCCTGGGCAGGTAGTCTTGTGTCATATAAGAAAGCAGGTTGAGCTTGGACCAGGAGAGCAAGCTAGTAAGCAGGGTCTCGCCATGGCCTGTGCTTCAGCTCCTGCCTCCAGGTTCCTACCCTGAATTCCTACCTTGGGCTCCTTTAGTGATGAACTGTGACCTGGGAGATGTAAGGTGAATAAACCCTTTCCTCCCCAAGTTGGTATTGGTCAGAGTGTTTTGTGTATGAGTGTATTGTCTGCAAGTATGTAAATGCACCCATGTCATGCAATGCCTGCAGAGATCAGAAGAGGACATCAGATCCCCTGGAACTGGAGTTACAAACAGTGGTTAGCCGCAACATGGGTGCTAGGAATCAAACCTGGGTCCTGTGCAAGAGCAACCAGTGCTCTTAACCACTAAGCCATCTATCTCTCCAGCCCCCATGTATCAGAATTTCATTCTTTTTTGTAGCTGAGTATGTTTCATTGTTCATTGTGCTTTTCATTAAGTTGCTGTTGCAATCTCTCAGTCCAGTGGCTGTAAACTCTAGTACTGCCCTGCCAGAGCTGCCATGAATGTTTGCAGTATGGCTTTCACAGGCTGCTAATATATCCTGGCAGGTGACCTAATACCTAAGTGACTAGCCATGACTACAGGACACATGACCACGGAGTATAGGAAACGTATTTATACCGCCAGATGCCCTTGTGGCCCTTGTCTGACCTATGCCCAGTGTATTTGTACCAAGATAGCTGCTGTCAGAGTCTAGCCCAGGAGGGAAATTACATTCAGGTGTACAGGTCAGGTGAGAGGCAAAAGGAAACAGGAGGATACATGAAATAGCAGATCCAGAGAGAAATGGGGAACATGGGCCAGAGCAGAGGAAAAGCACAAGCCATTTAGGACACTTGTGCTCAGGGGCGAAGAGCAAGAAAGTCCAGGGACCTAGGGGCAAGTGCCTTTACTGAGTTCAGCCTTTATTGTCAACCACGTAGTTTCCATGGGAAGTTCTACTTGGGTTTAGAACAAATAGGTCTGTGGAGTCACACTGAGAAAATGTGCATATCTGGGCAATCCAGGTGGAGCGTGGGAGTCAGAGCTCATTTAAGTAGATTAGATACCTCTTTAAATCGGTCCACTCAAAAGTAAACTATTGGACTGGGGATGTAACTCAGTAAGTAGAGTACTTGCCTAGTGTGCACAACACCCTGAGTTCAATCCCCAGCACTTTGCATAAACCAGGCATGGGTGGTGCCTGTGTATAGTCCTAGTACTTGGGAGGTAGAGGCAGGAATATCAGAAATTCAAGGTCATCTTTGGCTTCATAATAATAAATCAAGTTCTATGACAACCTGGACTACATGAAACTCTGTGTCAAAAGAACCTAGAAGAAAAAGGGAGAACTGTTACTCTTAATTGTTACCACACTCTGGGCAAAGACTGACCAATTGGGTTCTAATACTGTTGAACAGTTTAGATTGCCTATACTTCAATCTGTTTGGTTCCATAAGGAAGTAATTACAAGAAATTATTGTATTTGGCAGCTACTAGGCCAAATTGAGGAACAAGAACAAGGTGAAGAACTAGAAACTGTGTAAAGAGTGGCCAAGCCTTGTAAACATTCAAAACAGTTGCTGAAGAGCTAGGGATGTAAATCGGTTGTTATAGCACTTGCCTAGCATGTATGAAGCCCTGGGTTCCATCCCTAGCACAGTATAAACTGGGCATGGTGGCACATATAATCAGCTATAATCCAGCCCTTAGGAGGTAGAAGCAGGAGGATCAGAAGTTCAAGGTCATCCTAGGTACATATGCAGGTGGGAGCCAGTCTGGGATACATGAGACACTATCTCAAAAATAATGGAAATAATTGCTGGAGTAACAGAATTGTAATCATGCGTATGTATATATTATATATGGAGATCTATATATATGGATCTATATTTGTGTGTGGTGGTGGGGATCAAACATTGGGCCTTGTACACAATAAATAAATGTTCTCCCACTGAGCTACACTTCCTCCCTGCACACTATATTGTGCTTATCCATTCATTTGATGACATTTACTACCTTTTAAAAAAATATTTTATTTATTATTTTTAGTGTATGCATGTACTGCCTGCATGTAGGTAAGTACACCGGTGATGTGCAATGCCTGTGGAGGACAGAAGAAACCATTGGATCCCCTGGAACTGGAGTTTCAGACAGTTGTTAGCTGCCATGTGGGTGCTAGGATTCAAACCCAGGTCTTCTGCAAGAACAACCAGTGTTCTTAACCACTGAGCCATCTCTCCAGCCCCAAACATTTGCTACCTTTAAACTCATGAATAATGTTGCTATGCACATTCACATACTAGTAAGTGCTTGAGTTTGTTTTCAGTTCTTTGGGGTACATAACTAGGAGTGTGACTGCTATGCTGAGTTTCTTAAGGAAATGGTGAGTTTTCAAATAGCAGCTACACCATGTTGCATTCCTATTGTGAGGGCTCCAAGCCTCCTTAGTAACACCAATATTTACTTTCTACTTTTTCTGAAATAGTATTTCATTGATTTTTATTTTAATCTCCCTAATACTAATGATACTGAGCATCTTTTCATGTACTTATAGGCCAGTTGCCCCATTGTTATTTGTCCAAAAAACTGTTCTTGAAGGCTGGAGAGATGGCTCCGGAGATTTTGAGTACTAGCTGCTCTTACAGAGGACCCTCGTTTGGATCCCAGCACCCACATGGCAGATAATCATCTGTAACTCCAGTTCCAGAGAATCAGATGCCCTTTTCTGGCCTCCATGGGCATTGCACATGCAGGTGCACTTACATACATGCAGGCAAAATACTCATAAAATAAAAATAAACAAATAAATAAAATTTTAAATACTATTCTTTCCCCATTGAGCTATCCTGGCACTATCATCAAAGAAGCAATTAACCACAAATGTGCAAGTTTATTTCTAATTCTCATTTCTATCTCATTCATCTCCATGTCTTTCTGCCAGTTCCATACTGTCCTATTTACCTGAGTATTACAGTATATTTCAAATAGGGAGGCATGAGTCCTCCCACTGTTCTTTCTTTACACTACTTTGGCTATTTTGAGTCTTTTGCATTTCCATATGAATTTTAGGATCATCTGTCAATTCCACAGAGAAGCCAGCTGTGATACTACCAAGGATTGTGTTTGTACATCAAGTTGGAAAGTGTATTAGTTACTTTTTCCATTCTTGTGACAAAATACCTGATCAAAACAGCTGAAGAAAGAAATATTTTGGCTCATGGTTTGAGAAGGGCTACATCCTTCATGGGGGAAAGGTGTGGCAGCAGGCACCTGAGATAGCTGATGACATAATGTCTGAAACAAGCAGAGAGACATGAATGCTGGTGCCCAGTTTATTTTCACCTTTTCCAGGACCCCAGAGCATAGAATGGGAGGTCTTCTCTCCTCAGTTAAACCTTTCTGGAAACACCCTCATAGATACATCTAGAATTGTGTCTCCTAGGTGACTCTAAATCCAATCAATAGAACGTTAAAGTAGCTTATCAGATAAAGGCACCTGCCACCATGCCTGATGACCAAAGTTTGATCCCCAGCATCCACATGGTGGAAGGACTCCAGTAAGTTGTCCTCTCCTCTGACTCTGACCTCTACTTGTACACTGTAGTATACACACACACACACACACACACACACACACACACACATACACTTTAAAAATTTGCCCCTTATCTTAAGAAAAAACATCCAGTCTTTTTCCATCAAGTATAATGTTAGTGATAAGCTTCTTGAATGCCCTCTTTCACATTGAAGAAGTTCTCTCTCTTTCTGTTCTTAGTTGTTTTTAATCATAGAGGGATGCAAGGAA